CTTATTTTGAGTTTGAGAAACTAAAATTTATCATCAACTCAACAAGGAGGACAATTTGTGCAATTTTTCCTAATTGACATTGAATGATTCTTCAATTGGTACTATTTCATATTCAAAAGGATTAATTGAAGTTTGCACCCGTCAACTATTCTTGGATCGGACTGTGCACCCTAAACCTTTAATTTTTATTTTTAACAATTCACTCCAATCAACTAAATTTAGCCAGTCAAAAGATCATTTACACATTTGTTGTTCTTTTGTTCCAAAAGTACCCTTTTCTATCCCACAGAACAAGGACACAAAATTTTGCACAAATAATCTACAAATTAATAAATGTTTCAAATAGGAAAACAAAAGGGAAAATAGTTCGAAATGTCCCTCACATTCAGCCAAATGAATTTTTCGCCTTTTCACTTTTAAAATGGTAACTTTACGTCCCTTATAAAATCAAGTTAGTAAAATTTAGTCCCAACGTATATTTTCCACCATTTTTTAATCTATCATGTGACCTACACATAGTCATTTTTTAAGGGCCAACATGTTAGATCCTATCTGTAGTTAATCAAATGACCTAATTCATATATTTTGGTTCCCAAAAAAGTAAAATTTGACCCAAACCTTATTCATTCTTTTCCTAAAAAGATGGGATCTGATCCCATTCATATTCAGTTTTGTTACTAAAAGAGTGGAATATGACCTTTTTGTACATTAAAAATGACTGTATATTCAGGATAAAAAGTGATTGAAAACCTAGGTTAGAACCAAAATTTATTAACTTGAATTCAAAACATCCCTCAATAGCGGTGGTGGTGTCGCTAGTAAGGAGTGGTGTGGTTTGGGTATGGGATATTTGTTCACCTATTTTCTTTGGTTGAACAGGCATTTGTTTATAAGGAAATTTGTGCATTTTAGGAATTTGACTTAAGACGCAATTTGATATAGTTTTGTTGGGAGGTTCAAAGGTAGGGGTGAGCAAACGGTACAAATTCGGTAATTCGGTTAGTTGAATTCGGTGAATTCGGTTATTTGACTTATAGAAATCTAAACCGCTTTCAATTTCGAATTGGCTATAACCGAATTCATTTCTCAACCGATTTTGAATTTGGAAATGGTAATGAATTCGGTTAACAGAATACATTTATAAAAAAAAACTGATTTTTTAAAAATCATTACTGATTTGATCCCCAAATTTATTCATAATTTAACACATTACTATATTCTAATCATTTTGTGGTTTAATTTAATTGGCATTTATTTGATCACTTATACCTAGAATCCTTAGTCTATGATTTAAGGAACACATAAAAAGTGATTAATTTAAACTAGAATAAACCTTAGACTATACAATGATTAGTGATAATTTATGAATTTATAATTTACAATGATTAATAATAAGTAATATTAGTTACAAACTTACAAATTACAATGATTAGTGATAAGTTATATTAGTTACAAGTTTATAATTTCTTTCAAATCAACATAAAACTTATTTACTTACATATGTTATTGTGAAAGTCAATACACTAATACATTGATTTGCTATTCATATGCATTCACTTACACTCCTTAGCTGTCTGGTCTATATTTAAAACCTTAAAATTAGTGAATAGAGATTATGACTTTTTATGTTAAATATGTAATGTAAATTTAGAGCACATTAATACTTGCAAGTTACAGGTTATGCATTCAAATATTCAATAATTCAAACATGAATGATGTATCAAATTACCAATATCTAAATTCTAATTACTAATTATGTTTATTGTTTAATATTTAGTATTATACATATATGTATTAATTATTATCTAATTCTAGTCATGTTATATTGTTATGTATTACTATATATTTGTATTATTATAGCATATTGATAGAGCGGTTATTTGGCGTATTTTGCATTGTTATTTTGTCCTAATTTTGGCTATTTACGGTGCTAAGAATTGGAATTTCACTCATATTCGACATTTGTGTGAATTGTAGGTGGTCGGCATAAAAAATGATCTCGCGAGGCAAATTTCCAGAAGACCTTTCATTTCAGAGTGTGGCCACTAGAAAAGGTCTACGCTACGAAAAGACGGACCGTGGTCCACGTGAACCCGGAGCACTGGATTAGAACCTTTAAACAAATTGTGGGCCTCCTAACCCTTTGAAGACTTCTGTGGGGCGGCGGCTATAAAGAAAGGGAAAAGCAAGATTCAAGAGAAGAGGACTTTTAGCCTTAGTTTTTCTCTTTCTACTTTTTGGCAAGATTTGTCAGACGTTTTTCTTCTCTTTTGTTTTTTCTTTCTTTTCTTCCGAAAGGTAGCTTTAGTTTTTTCCTTTTTTTCGAGGCGCCAGACGTCTTCCCCCCTTTTGACTTTTAACTTTTCCGCTGGATAATTTCTGCGTAGCCTTTCGCTTGTAATTGCGGCTTCAATACGAAGCCAGAACCACGCGAGCTTCATCGTGAGAGCTTTTGTCTCTTCTTATTAGATAATCTGATTTGCGGCTTTGGCTCTGCGTTACTTTATTCCCTCCAATCTCTTCGGCAATTAATTGAATGAATTCAATTAAATCACGCGGGATTAACATGATGAGGAGCGATTAATTTTCTCCTCTACCCAAAGGTTGACGCAAGGGCGCGGTCCATAATATCTGTGAGATCTAAACGAATCTTTATTATTTCTTCCAATTTATTGCTATTCGTGCATTTTCTGAATTAATTGTTCATGGATTTTTGATTAATTGAATATCAACGGCCGGGTATTTGATTTAATTTAATAGCCTACTGACGTTAATTAAATAGAATTCGTAATTGTTCATTTAGTTGACACCCCGTGGCAACCACCATAATTGGCTTTATGAAGGGGAAATGCAAGATCTAATTTAAATAAACCCTCTTAGCGTGTTTATTGGTTAGGGTTGGGTTTTTCTAGATTTAATCCAATTGGGTAATTAAATTCCTACGGTCGTACCTAGGGTTGTTATCTGGTTAGAGAAACAGTCAACGGTCGTACCTTGACTGTCGAAAAAGTAAGGAAGAACTGGTTGTCAGAGCTTATTGATAACTATAACCAACCTAGTGATGAATGGATGAAACACCTTTGCATCGATGAGCATTTGATTGGACCGTGCCTGAGCAGTTGATCCTTTGGGTAGAACTTTTATTAATGCTATTTTTAGTGAATTGTGCTTTGTGAGTTAGTTCTGAATTTAGTTCGCTTTATTTTTATTCTTATTTTTATTTTATTGGCCTCCCATTGAAAATCCCCCAATTTCGTTCTACTAATTTGGGAAGAAATAATTTCCTACCCGCTCCCTGTGGAATCGACCCTACTTGCCATTGTACGCAAAAATCAATATTTTTATAGATAAATCTGGTATATCGGATCAAGCAAACTCTTCGGGAACAGGGTGAATCAAGTAGCCATTGCACACCTAGGGTCCCTGCTCCAGTACTTGGATTTGTTCTATAATTAACTAATTGTGGTGGTAATTAGGACTTTTTAGTAATTATTATTGCACAGGTTCGGCACCTGTCAATTTTTGGCGCCGTTGCGGGGAGTTGGCGTTTGGATTATTTGTTTCTTTTCAAATTCAGTTTTTTTCTATTTTATTTTATTCTTCTTGGTATTTTTGCTAGTTTATGCCCCGCTCTTCTCGACAGGTGAATTGGTATACGATCCTGAGGTTGAGAAGGCAGCGCGTAGACGGAGGCAAGAGACCAAGAGGCAAAAAGAAGGGCACTTATTTGCTGCAAACGAGTCAGCGGAAGGCGAAGTAAGCATGGCCAACACCCAAATATTGAGGGAGCTGGCTGCTCCGGAGCTGACTCACCAGCCCTTATGCATCACATTCCCCACTTTGGCTGAGAATACTGCTTTCGAACTGAAGTCGGGGCTGATTCATCTCTTACCTTCTTTCCATGGTCTCTCTGGCGAAGAACCCCACAAACACGTCAAGGAGTTCGAGGTGGTTTGCTCTAGTATGAAACCTCCTGGGACCACTGAAGAGCAAATCAGACTGAGAGCCTTTCCGTCTCTCTCAAGGATGCAGCTAAAGATTGGCTGTACTACCTACCAGCAGGTAGTATTATCACATGGGCACAGTTGAAAAAGAAGTTTTTGGAGAAATTCTTCCCTGCATCCCGGGCTGCGAGTTTGAGGAAGGAAATCTGCAGCATTAAACAGTATCCCGGGGAGTCCTTGTATGACTATTGGGAAAGGTTTAACAAGTTGTGCACTAGATGCCCGCAGCATCAAATTAGTGAACAACTGTTAATCCAATATTTCTATGAAGGACTCCAGTCAACTGATAGGAGTATTATTGACGCTGCGAGTGGAGGAGCACTGGCAAATAAGACCCGAGGGAAGCATGGCTGCTCATTGAAGCTATGGCAGAAAATTCTCAACAGTTTGGCTTCTGTGAAAGTAACCTTACCCGCAGGGTTAATGAGGTGGAGTCGACATCTATTCAGCAGCAGTTGTCGGAGCTAACATCCGTTGTTCGACAATTAGCTGTGGAAAATGTGTCCCAAGTAAAGGCCTGTGGAATCTGCACAAATATAGGCCACCATACTGACTCATGCCATATATTGCAAGAGGATGGGGCTGAGCAAGTGAACATGGCTGGAGGCGTGCCCGCGCCTCGTAGGCAGTACGATCCATACTCCAACACGTACAATCCGGGTTGGAGAGATCATCCCAATTTCAGCTATGAAAATAGGCCACAAAATGCATTCTCCAATCGTCCACCAGGATTTCAGCAACCATGGCAACCATGGCAACCGAAACCGCAACCCTCATCCTTCAACACAGGGAGTTCCTTGGAGGATATTGTCAAGAGTCTGGCTACGACTACCGCCCAGATCCAGCAAGAGACTAGACAGCTCCAACAGGAGACCAGGTCATTGACCACAAATATGGCTCAACTCCAGCAAGAAACTAGAGCCTTAACCATGAGCACAATCAGTTCCAGCAGGACACAAAATCAGGCATGAAGGATATGGAGGCTCGAATAAGCAAATGGCAACTGCCATCAATCGCTTGGAGTCCCACGCTTATGGAAAGTTACCCTCACAACCTGAAGTAAATCCCAGGAATGTAAGTGCCATGACACTGAGGAGTGGCAAGACACTGGAAGGGCCTAAAGAGGGAAATTTAAAAAGCAAGAGTGAGGAGGAGATAGAAAAGGAAATTGAGGAGGAAGGATGTGTTCGTGAGGATCCTAAGGTAATCTCCACCTCCCCACTCACTACTAACTCTAACTTACCCCCATTCCCTTGCAGGTTGGAAAAGACAAAAAGGGTAGAGAAGGAAAAGAGCTCTTAGATGTGTTTCGAAAAGTGGAGATCAACATTCCCCTGTTGGATGCAATCAAACAGATACCGAAATATGCCAAGTTCCTAAAAGATTTGTGCACCCACAAAAGGAAGCTAAGGGGGGACGAAAGAGTATCGGTGGGAGAAAACGTGTCAGCTATACTCCAAAGGAAACTCCCACCAAAAGTGGAGACCCAGGTATGTTCACCATTCCTTGCAAGATAGGAGGTACTCCAATTAGGAAAGCGATGTTGGATTTGGGGCATCAATTAATGTTATGCCTAAGACAATCTATGTTTCTCTTAATCTTGACCCATTAAAAGGCACAGGCATTATAATCCAACTTGCAGACCGTACCAATGCTTATCCAGAGGGGTTAGTTGAAGATGTTTTGGTACAGGTCAATGAGTTGGTCTTTCCTGCAGATTTCTATGTCTTAGACATGGGAGATGAAAGGGCATTAAGTCCATCACCTATTTTGTTAGGTAGACCATTTTTAAGCACTGCTAGGACAAAAATAGACGTGAATGAGGGCACTTTGTCGATGGAGTTTGATGGTGAAATTGTAAATTTCAATATCTTTGATGCGATGAAATACCCGGATGAGGCTAACTCTGTTTTTGCTTTGAGCATTATTGAACCTCTTGTACATGACACATTTGAATTGAATAGGGGCGATGCACTGGAAGTGGCATTGGCCAAACATCTTGAGTTGGAGCAACTCTTGAGGTAGAAATAAGTGATGAGCTATACCATGCAGTTTGAAGCACTGCATTCGCTCCTACCACTTGTCCCCAAGATATGAGCTTACTTCTCTCTTTGTACCAGAAACTCAAACGAAATTGTTGCCTTCTATTGTGCAGGCACCTGAGTTGGAGCTCAAGCCTCTCCCAAAGCATTTGAAATATGCTTTTCTCGGGGACAAAGAGACATTGCCAGTCATCATATATGCATACCTGTCACCAAGGCAAGAAGACAACCTGATTCGTCTTCTTCGAGATCATAAGGAGGCGATTGGGTGGAGGCATAGCAGACATCAAGGGAATTAGCCCCTCTTTATGCATGCATCGGATCCGGCTTGAGGAGGATGCAAAACCAGTGCGGCAGGCACAACAGAGATTGAATCCACTGATGATGGAAGTGGTAAAGAAGGAAATACTTAAACTCTTGGAAGTGGGGATCATCTTCGCCATCTCAGACAGTCCCTGGGTGAACCCAGTACAAATAGTCCCTAAGAAAGCTGGAGTGACCGTAGAAGAAAATCAAGAGGGCGAGATAGTCCCGGTGAGGAAACCCACAGGGTGGCGTCAGTGCATTGATGATACCGGCGTCTGAATGCTGTGACAAAGAAGGACCACTTTTCCCTCCCGTTTATTGATCAGATGCTAGAAAGGTTAGCTGGTCGCGTTTATTACTGCTTTCTTGACGATTTTTCAGGTTATTTCCAGATCGTAATAGCACCGGAGGATCAGGAGAAAACTACTTTCACGTTGCCCCTTTGGTACATTTGCGTACCGAGGATGCCTTTCGGCCTCTGCAATGCTCCGACGACTTTTCAGAGGTGTATGGTAAGTATATTTTCTGAGTATGTAGAAAAAATTATTGAGGTATTTATGGATGATTTTAGTGTATATGGAGAATAGTTTTGATGAATGCCTGGATAATTTAGCTTTAATTTTGAAGAGATGCATTGAGACAAATTAGTTCTAAATTGGGAAAAGTGTCATTTTCATGGTGGATCATGGCATTATTTTGGGGCATGTAGTTTCAGCCAGGGTATAGAAGTGAATAAAGCAAAGGTCGATATTATTTCTGTTTTGCCTTACCCCGTAAGTGTACGGGAGGTGCGTTCCTTTTTGGGTCATGCAGGGTTTTACAGGAGATTCATCAAAGATTTCTCCAAAATTGGAGCTCCCCTGTTCAAACTGTTGCAGAAGGAGGTAGCATTTGACTTCACCGAGGAGTGCAAGGTGGCATTTGACAGGTTAAGGAGTCATTGACATCACCACCTGTTATCCAGCCTCCAGACTGGAGCCTCCCATTTGAGATAATGTGTGACGCGAGTGACTATGCAGTGGAGCAGTGCTGGGGCAACGGATTGGCAGGGCAGCTCATGCAATATACTATGCATCAAAGGCGTTGAATGGAGCTCAGCTCAACTATTCTACAAACAGAGAAAGAGAATTACTTGCTGTGGTTTTTGCACTAAAAAAATTTAGACCTTTACTTGTTAGGTGCAAAAGTAATAGTTTTTTCTGATCATGCAGCCTTGAGATATTTGATGACAAAGAAGGATGCTAAACCAAGGCTTATCAGATGGATCCTGCTCCTTCAAGAGTTCAATTTGGAGATTAAAGATAAGAGTGGGGCAGAAAATTTAGTTGCTGACCACTTGAGCCGCTTGCTTGCTCATAAGGAGGAGCAACCATTGAGGGAGGCATTTCCAGAGGAGCAACTACTTGCCATTAATTCGCCTACACCCTGGTATGCTGATATAGTAAATTTCTTAGTGACTAATCAATTGCCTGCATGGTGGCCAAAGGCTAAGAGAGACAAGTTGAAAAGTGATGCCAAATATTACATTTGGGACGACCCGTACCTGTGGAGACAATGTTCGGATCAAGTCCTAAGAAGGTGTGTGAGTGCAGGTGAATTCCACTCTATTTTAAATTTCTGTCATTCGTTTGCATGTGGAGGGCATTTTGGTCCTAAGTGGACGGCTCGTAAGGTGTTGGAAAGTGATTTTTATTGGCCTACCCTCTTTAAGGATGCATATTTGTTCTGTAAATCTTGTGATAAGTGTCAAAGGGTGGGGAATATCTCTCGTAGAGACCAAATGAGTCAGACCCCCATATTATTTGTTGAGATTTTTGATGTCTGGGGTATAGATTTCATGGGTCCTTTCCCCTCGTCTTTTGGTTTTCTTGTACATTATACTTGCTGTTGACTATGTTTCCAAATGGGTGGAGGCAAAAGCCACCCGGACTAATGACTCTAGAGTGGTTGTAGATTTTATAAGATCTAACATTTTGTCCGTTTTGGAATGCCGAGAGCTATGGTGAGTGACAGGGGCACCCATTTCTGCAATAAGACAATCACTGCATTGTTTCGTAAGTATGATGTGCTGCATAAAATGTCCACTCCATATCATCCACAGACGAATCGGCAGGCCGAAGTGTCGAATAGGGAAGTTAAGTCATCTTGGAAAGATGGTGCGGCCTGATAGGAAAGACTGAAGTCTGAAGTTGGAAGATGCTCTCTGGGCTTACCGCACCACGTATAAAACGCCAATTGGAATGTCCCCTTACAGGTTAGTCTTTGGGAAGCCGTGCCACTTACCAGTAGAATTTGAACACAAGGCATTCTGGGCGCTCAAGCGGTGTAACATGGGCCTCATGGAGGCCGGAGGAAATAGGAAGCTCCAATTACAAGAGTTGGAGGAGCTAAGGAATGAAGCCTATGAGAACGCTGCTATATATAAGGAGAAGAGTAAAATTTTTCATGACCAACAAGTGTCGAGGAAGTCGTTTGTCATAGGGCAAAAAGTCCTACTTTATCACTCGAGACTTAAGCTTTTTCCTGGTAAGTTGCGTTCCCGTTGGATTGGTCCATTTGTTGTTACTAATATTTCTCATTATGGTGCAGTGAAAATCCAAAGTCTTAAGACGGAGAAAAGGTTCGTAGTCAATGGTCACCGTCTAAAGCCTTATTATGAAGGGTTTAATAGTGAGCAAGTGGAGGTTATATTCCTTGATAATCCAAGTGGTGAAGTCTAAACAGTTGAAGGCAATGTCTAGCCAAAGACGTTAAAGAAAGGCGCTGCTTGGGAGGCAACCCAAGGAGTACAATATTAGTTGTGATCATTCTTCATTACTCTGCGCAATTTTTCAGTTTCATTTTAATGTTTTGATTGTTTTTGTGATGTTGGACAGAAGACCATGCCCTCCAAGGCGTGCCCACGCCTTGGAAGGGTTGCGCCAGGTGCCCTGAGCAAATTGGAGACTAGCAGTTCCAAGGCGTGCCCACGCCTTAACGGAAATTCGTTTGGACATCATTTAGATCCTGTGGTCAGAAGACCATGCCTCTGAGGTGTGCCCACGCTTCCAACCCTCCGATAGCGAAAGTAAAAATAAAAAAAAAGAGAAAATTTTGGACCCAGACCCTACTTTTTCCACTTCGTCTTCTTCTTTGCTTGGTCTTGTCAGGTCCTCCAAGTTCCTCCGTTGAGATTTCCTTTGTCATAGTCTTAGTCTCTATTTCAATTTCCTCTTTCCCGTTTCACTGTCCGCCGCCGCTCCACCACTAGCCGCGCGCGCAGCGTTGCCCGTAGCTGCCCACCGCCTTACGCCGCCTGCTCACGCCGCCACTCCGCTAGGTCGCGCCGCGCCAGGGCCCAGCCTGTGCGCTGCCTCGCGCACCCCTTCTCACCCATCAGCAGATCTGCGCGACGCAGACCAGCCCGCCGCGCGGTTTTCTTCTCAGGCCGCAGCCCAGCACCGTGCGTTCCAGCCGCGCGCGCGACCTGCCCCTGCCGACCTGTCCCTGCGCAGCAGCCCTTGCGTGCAAGCCTTCTCAGTCCGCACGCTTGGCACGCCCAGCCAAACTTCGCGCTCCTCTGCGCGAGCCTCGCCACCCCGCGCGCCAATCGCGCACGCCTCGTCTGCATCGCGCAACCCAGCGCGCATCCGCGGTAGCCCAGCGCTAGATCTGCAGACCACATGCGCCCCTGCGCGCAGCCACGGCCAGCGTTTGCGGGCGCGCCTAGCGGCAGTGCGACCAGCCATCAGCGCGCGCAAGTTTCGCCCTGCCGCGCGCCAGCCACCCCTCCCGTCGTGTGACCCTCTCCGTTGTTGAGAGCAGAAATTGGTACCTCTGTCTTACTTTATTGCTGCCACTAGTCTTTGAATTTGGGGCCCGACACTATATTTGATCAGGATCTGGAATTTTATTGTTGAATTCCCACTCGTGTTGGGTTGACATAATTGCTTGTTTTTGGGGGACCATTTAATTGTTATCTGCAAGTGTGAGTCCGCGTATCTGCCTGGGATTGATTATATACTTGGGACATCTGTGGGCTCTGGTGAATTTATTGTTTGTTACACGTGGTCGGTAGCTCGCTGATTGTTGCTTTTTATTGACTGACATCTTGATTTGAGGGGAGTTGGTTCGGTCTTCTTTATTGTTGTCGGATAATTGACGGCAGTGGGGCATTGGTTGGTATTTGTTGTCTGTTGTTGTTTGGTGGGGAAATTGTGTTCCCTCTTTGCTATTGAACTGTTGATTATTGAATATTATTTGTTACCTGTGGTCTCGTGTCTTCTTTTGGGTAATTGATTGGCTGTCTCCGGGCTGATTTACATTTCATTTCTGGGCATCCGAATGCCTCCAAAGAAGGCGACAACTGTTGGGCCATCTGGGTCCCAGCCTCGCAAGAGGCGAGCCCCGGTTCAACCCACCATTCGGTCTCGTCTGGGCCTGAATAAGAGCACTATGTCTCCTGGGGGAGGGGGGAAACGGTCACTAATCTTACACCGGCACAAGTGGAGCGGTTTAATAACTTGGCACACCGTCCTTTTACTCCTTGTAAGTGCTTCCATGCCCCAGCCTTGGACCATTTGCGAATTGCACGGGAAGTTGAACAGTTATTCTCGGCCGTAGGTTGGCAAAAATATCTAATCATTAACTACCCTACGTTTGAGGGGCTGTGTTGTGAATTCTACTCCACATTCGAGTTCAACAGAAATGAATTCATCACTTTGGATGAGCCGGAGGTCATTAATTTCAGATTGGGAGGTACTCAGTTTGGTATGTCCATTAATGAGTTTAATCTGACTTTGGGGTTTGTTAGTGAGGACACCATTGCCTCCGGGGCATATATAAACAGTGTATGTGACTACACCAGACCGTTCTCTACTGACTACATTGACATTTGGAGGGAGTGGTCCACGGATCGTCAGATCTACAATCCGAGTCAGTCGAAGGCTTCCCATCTGAAGGATCCGGTCTTGAAGTTTGTCCACAGGTTCTTAGCTCATAATTTCTCGGGGCG